ACACTTTTAGATGTTCGTTTTTGTCTTGAGCACACACTGATCAAGTCATTCCATTATGATAATGGGATTTCATTTAAAAAGAGCTTATTAGACACATTGAACGTCCCATTTTAGGACACTTGGAACACAATGGCTTATCAAGCAACTTATTTTTTTGTGTGTGGATAAAGACTCAATCACAGGTTCTTTACTCTGCTGTGCCAGCGCTTTTCATAATTAACAGAGAATGCGGTTAATTTCCATGCATCTTTGCTGGAATTGCTATAATTACATGGCTTGTACAGAGACCTCCGTTAAAACTGGCACACAAAGTCAGTCTAGACTTTCTCTGTTTATGAAGGACTGCATTTTCCTCTATGAAGGACTCGTCCTCTTGATGTCCTTCTGCCTTTAATGATTCTAATTCCCCAATTTCATTTGCCTCAGTTGAATAATTCTGGCCTCAGTTTAACCCTGGGGCTGTAGTTACTACAGTGCAGAAGAAGACCTGCCACTGGGACCCCATTTTTTTTAAGTGCGATAGCACCTCACTTGATCATTTCAAGGGGTGAGAGTGTCATTGTGTGCCACTATCCATGCATCGAACTGATTAATTATGTGGTCTTTAACAGTGTGTGTGACAAGCACTCATGCAGAATATGTCGCTGTACTACTCTCTCGCTCTCGGTGTGTGTTTGTATGGCAAACTCAACAGGGGTGATAATCTCTCATTAACCATAATCCCTGGTTGGCCCAGTGCAGTATGGCAAGGGACACACTGATGCTGTATTCTTCCTCATGGGCAGATGGAGTGGAGTCAGTCACTCGATATATTAGCTCCCTGCCACCTAGTCCAGAACACTCAAGCAAAACGCATTCATCACCATGAAGATGTGGCCACTAAATCAGTGTGATGAGACCCAGATTCCCCTTGTTTGCATACAGCTATACGTCTGTCTTGTTAAAAGTCATGTCTTGAACACTTACATTAGCCTATAGTGGTATAAAGATGATTTGGTAGTGTGGATAGGTGATTCATTTTTACAATGCATAATTCATTATATGTTGATATCTATATAGCCTTTTCTGCATTTTTTTAAGTCAGCACGAAATCAAAATAATCAAAATTGACAATTCTTGTTTTTATTTTTTATTTTATGGAATATTGCGGAATTTATTATAAATCCAAATCCTTTTAAACCAGCTGAAAACACTATAGGCGCTCTGCTGAAAATGTCTAGCTGTGAGCACTTGAGAGGGCTTGGGCCTTTTTTTTTTCTGTTTTTTTTTTTCCAGTTGAGAGGTTTTGCTATATGATACGGAATTGACAGGAACTCTGTCTTGACTAGGTCTCGCTTGTAAAAGAGGTTTTAACCTCAATGTGATTTTCCTAGTTAAATAAAGGTTAAAAAAAATTACTAGTAGCCTACAGAAGTATCCCAATTTCAGATACTACCGGAACATCCGGGAACTTTACTGTCGATTTCATCCCGGCCCCTTTTTAGAGGAAAATAAACTAGACTTCAATACAAAATAGCGTCACAAAACAACGTCCGTACACAGCCGCCAGTCGTGAAAGCAGTAAGATTAAACATGTCAAGTAATTATATGTCCACCCTGCCTGCCATAGAGCGTGAAAGATACATCAACAAACTTAATTTGGTCAATTTGAAAACATATCCTTTTTTTCTCTCAGTGTAAAATTGGTGCAACAACCCCACAAAGTGGGGTTATATTTATTATAGGATATTATAATGTATATTATAAGACATAATATATACATTTATAGTAAAAACATTCACTGGCTTACATGGTTTCTCGATGAGTAAATGTCTGGGTAAGACAGACATGTTTTTAAATTGACTAAATTAAGTTTGTTGATTTATCTTTCACGCTCTATGGCAGGCAGGGTGGATAGGCTACTTGACATGTTCAATCTTAGTGATTTCTTAAGTTATTCACGCCTGTCGCTATTTTGTATTGAAGTCAATGGGAAGTCTAGTTTATTTTCCCCTAAAATTGCAGGCGTGAATCTGTTCATGGACATTCTATGACATTGAGCCAGTTGTGAGTTTATTCCGGTTTGTTTCTGTTTAAATAAAAATGTTGCTACAATGAAAAGTTTTGGTCTGGCTTTTGTTTTAAAGGGGTGGTTGATTATGATTTCACTTTTAATAATCAAGTAAAATTTGATTATGAAAAGTTAGTTGTTAGTTGCTCACCTAACTCTAGTGTGTAATGTTGCTGTTTGAGCATAAACAAGATCTGCAAAATTATGATGCTCAAAGTTCAAAGCAAAGGGAGATATTTTATTTTAAAGAAATTGCTTTATAAGGACTACAACAAACGGCTGGAAGGGACAACACGACATTCCTCCCGGGTTACTGACATCACTAACCCTAGAATTTACATAAACCCCACCGGAACACGATTTAGATGATCATGACAGAATATGCTAATCAATTTCTAGAAGATAACAACACATAAGCTATAAAAATTCATCAACTATCCATTCAGAAACGTCCTGTTGGTGTCACTTCTTCTTGAGCCTCTCCATCTTTATCTTTGAACATAAAAGGCTTTTGAAATGTTCAGTATATCTGTGTGAGGTAAAAGAACATGGGTTGTTGAAGCTCCGCCCTCTGTGCCGAGAGCAGCAGCTCATTTGCATTTAAAGGGACACACAAAAAACGGTGACAATTTTAACATCATATAAATATATCAGTGGGAGATCTTGAGCTAAAACTTCACATACACACTCTTATTTTACATATTGTGAAAAGATTATACCACCCCTTTAAATGATGCTTGTTGTTGTCTGTTGACAACCAGAATATGGCGGTTGGTCGATGGTGTTGTATTTGTCCCGCCCCCTCCTCCACTGTGATTGGACAGCTGGGTGATGTGAAGTGATGTGTGCTGCGTTTTACCCAAAGTTGACCATTCTTCAACTCTCTGCGACCAGTAAAACAGCAAACACTCATCGTTCAGCGTGAAATAAATTCTCGTTGTCAAAAGCGCGTTGTCAATGCTGCTGGTGTTTTAAAAACACAGATACGATAGCCTTAGTGAAAAGCAGCTTTGGTGACCTTGGTGGCCTAAATAGTTTCTATTTACATTTTTTATTGTTCTTTTTCTCTGTTTTGTTTTTGTATGCTAAATTTTATTATTTTTAAATGCCAGTTATGAATGCCCATGTTTTTATAATTCTGTGCAACTTTCCCCACATTTAATGTCTTAAATTTCATGCTGTTCCTCACACAAAGACTTCTTTGGCTAAACGTCTCTCTGTGTTCCACTGATGAAGGAAAGTAATCAAAGAATGATAATTTGAGTGAACTATCCTTTTAGTTAAAGCTGGAACACAATCGCACAACACAAAATTATTAGCAGTGAATTCAAGTTTAGTAACCTACACTTCCTCTAAACATCAACACTATAATAGTGAAAGTATCTAATTTCACAGATGAGATATCTTACTTTATAGCTACTGTCTGGAAACATAGTTAGCACATTAGCATTAAACGCCTGCCAGCCTCGGGCAATTCCACGAACAGAGCGGATAGATAAATGTTTCAGAGAGATCTCTGTGGGACTTCTTCAAATGCACAAAAAAAAAGATTCTATCTAATATGAAATGGAGATTTTAATATACTTTAAAGACACCCTGTATAGCAAATAAAAGTGTAGTTTTGTCTCATTATTGCAGGGTAGAATTGGTCTGTGTGCTCGGGGCAAGATGGATCACCAGTGGGCTTATTACCATTATTAGCACATTTAGTGCTAGTCCCTGTTGCCAACCTTGCTGATTGTAGGAAAACATCTCCCTAATAACCTTAACGAGAATAACGCCCCGGGATGCGCCATGTCCTCCTCAGAGAGAGGGTATAATGTGCTGCGGGACACACATCCGCTATCCCTCCCAAAGTCACTCCTGTCTCGCTGGCTCCGGTTTCTTTGCTGTGGGCAGTAATCTCCTGTCTGCTCCACTTTACCATACCAGGAGAATTACACCCACAAGGAACTGAGCCACAAATTGTCCAGACGGATGGAGCGTAAAATTGATAAGAATATTAAATTTGCCATTGACAATGGGGTCTATAACTTGCACTAAAGTCCACTCGAGGGATGGATACTCCAGAAGAATAAGGGTTTGGTAACACGTTAGAATGGGTCTCATTTGTTAATGTTTGTTAGCCTCACCGAACATGAACTAACACTGAACAATACATTACAGTATTTATTCATCTTTGTTAATGCTATTAATAAAAGTACAGTTGTTCATTGGTCATTATAGTTTACAATGCATTAACTTTGTTAATCAATACAACTTTAGATTTTAATAGTAGACTATAGCCTAGCTAAATGTTGAAATTAGCATTAGGCTAACAAAGATTAAAGAATGCTGTAGAAGTAGGCTACTGCTCATTATTTTTCATGTAAACTAATGAAACCTTATTGTAAATTAGGCCTATTACTGGTTTGTTTAGATTGCAATGACAACAATTTTAGTGCTTTGTTAACTTATACGTGTACGATTTGGGGGATATATTGTTTTGATAAATAGTGAAATTAAACTGTAAAATTTAGTATACAGTAGCTGACATATTGATCTTTTTTTATTTTTTTATTTAAAAAACCCATAATGATTCTTTACTCATTTAGCCACATATGGGTGGCCACAATTTCAAATAATTTAAACAATCCAGAATTTTAATCACGTTTTGCCATTTTAAATTGTCTTGCAGTCGGTGTGACGAATTCATTTTTTTTAGAGTACAAAAACTCAATTACTAGTTCATAAAAACTGTATGTAACATAATTATAGAAGAATTGAAGAAGAAAAAAAGTGGTATTAAATGAATTCCTGCATGTTACACCTCAGGACACAGGAAGCAGAAACTGCTTGAAATTTCTTGTCAATCACCCATGTGCAGTTTGAGTTTGACTATATTGCCATTTTGCTAAAAGTGACAGAATCTCATTTCCATCAAGTGAGGAATTTTGAGGAGTGAGACACTGACCCCTAAAGGACGCGTGAAGAACTGCACCTCTAGCCCGCCGCCCGTGACGTCACGCCCTGCATGGCTCAATGGGATCATATGCTGTAAAGTCAGTTATACTGACAAACAAGGAATTCAAGGACCTTTGAGTAGATCGATAGTCTGTTGAGGCAGTTAGGCAGAGAAACTAGTTTTACACTGAATTAAAGAGTTAAAACACAGTCTAAGTCAGGTCATCATGGCATCTCTGTTTAAAAAGAAGACAGTCGACGGTAAGTCACTTTGTTAACTGTTTTATTATAGATTTTCAGGGTCATATCCCTCTCATAATTTACACCTGTTTCCCTGCTGCATCTTTTAAAACGTTATCAGCTTGTTGTTATCAACATATCCAGTTTTTATTAAGTTACAGTTAAAAGAATAATTGCTACAAAACATAACGATGTTTTGGTAATTTGGTTGTTGTAACAACTGCTATGTATGTGAATGGACAAAGGCTAACGTTACATTATTTAGTGTTTCATCTAGAATAGATTAATGACACAATTGGTATCATGTTTTTCTGTCCGTGATCTGTTATGTCGTTTATAAAAGTAGGCTAATCATAAAAGTTATGTTTTGCCACTGTACCAAAAGTGAAAAATTACGTTATTTCTTTGTAAAAAAAAATGACAAAAGAACACAGCCACCCATTAAGATGTTTCTTGTGTGCTTTATTTACGGGTCCTCTTTAGGTTCTTTTACATTGAAACAGCTGTTGCAAGCAATTTGTTTATGAAGACAATCTGCATTGCATCTGCAATCCCACTGTACCAGACATGCATTCAATGGACATTGTTAATCTGAAATCTGAATTTGGCACAGTCAACTAGTTACATTTACTGGTGTGTTGCCTCAAGACTCAACTGAGCACTGTATCATTGAACACATCCATCTGAACCTGTGCATGTGTCTCAAAAAATAACAAAAGAAGCTTTCTTCATTCATATAAGTCATGAAGTTGAGTTTGGCTGTACTGACCTAGTGACCTTGTCATTTTAAGCAGTTTTTTTTTCTTTTAATTCTGCATTCTCAACATCTTAATTTAAGATCATTTTATTTTATTTTATTTATTTATTTTTTGCCTTAATCAGCTGTTACAGGATAACTATATTCAAACTCATACGTGTGATATAGTTTATAACACATGACTGATATTTATCAGTAAAGCAAAAGAGTAGGTGGTGAACTGAGAATCAATCCCAGTCTGTACTCACATTGTGATGCTTTTTCCATGGTCAAGTTGAATTCCCATAATTTCCGAAGCGCTGTCCTCGTGACCTTGGTGCCAAGGTGAGTCGAGAGTCACCGTGCCAAAGTATCCTGTCAGATGGCAGAGCTGCTTTAGCTCGCCGAGTTTTGTGGACAATAACCCTCCCTCAATAGTACGTTTTCTATGCGTCATCTTTTGCGTAGACTTCTACGTGTACACAAACTCTCTCATCATGGTTAGGGATGGGCAAGTAACAAAATTATAATGATAATTAAGTTTAAAAAAAATATTCACAAACTCTTTTGAACTGTTTTGTACTTTTCCTGCTTTTGCACAATATTAATAAAGTTTTATTTCACTTTACTAATTTATTAGTTCTCTCCAGATTTTAAAATTTTAAATGTAAAATAACTTAACTTGTTTTTCTTTTTAGTTATACTCTCTTTTTAAATATTTTTATGTTAATTTACAATTTTGAAATAATTGTAAAATATTTAACTAACTTTTTTTTCTTTTTAGTCATATAAAAATGTATTTTTGTTTATTAGAAATCGATTTTTTAATGTTATATTTAGCTAATTTGTTTTACTCTCATTTTTATATTTTATGGAACTTTTTAAAACAGTTAACTAACATGTTTTTTTCTTTTTAATCATATTCTTATTTTAATAGTCTTGTTTATCGAGAAAAAAAAATGAAATAGTTTTTTCATTTTGTCATTTTCTCTTCCTTATCCTTTTTGCATATTGTTCCTTTTTTCTGCATCCACTTTTTTTTTTACCTTTCCTATAAGTAATTTACTCATTTACTTGTGGACTACTATACCATATCTTTTCATTTCTGAATTTAAATTTCACATTTTTTAAATATAGTTAACACTAGGGAAGGGAGGCTCACAAGACTCCACTCTTGAGTCAAAAAAAAAAGTAACCATTTTTCTGCTAAACCACCATCTGTGGCTTCTAATATTGGCCATTTAACCTCATGGGATGTTATCGTATGATTGGCTTTCATGAGGGCACATGGTGGGCTGATTGCTGTGTGTGTGTGTGTGTGTGTGTGTGTGTGTGTGTGTGTGTGTGTGTGTGTGTGTGTGTGTGTGTAGGAGAGCGTATCTTCCCTATAGGCATTGTGGCTGCACACACTGGCATCTATCTAGAGGAGGAACCTGATGTTCAGTGCATATGTTTAGCTTGTCCCTTAAATGCATGAACACATGAAGGGCATGATTTTGCTGGCCTTGTATTCAAACAAATTATTTTTATTTTATTTTCCCCCCAGGCTCATTAGCAAATTTCATTTGCTGCAATATTCAGATCCAAAAGAGGCTGTTATTATTCAATCGCTGATGAATTTAGAGTCTATAAATGATTTGTCTATTTAAGTGCTCTAAGTGCACTTTTCTTTTTGTTGCAATTGTTCTGATTATTGTACATAAAATTTAAGAAGGTTATATCAGTAGTCCCTTATTTGTAATTGTGTCTGTTTACAACATCTACCAAGAACTACAACTGACTTCAGCCACAGCCTTAGATGAAATCAACTGAAGATAAAAGAATACATTACATCTCTAAAGATCTCAGCAGCGGATGATTAAACAACTCAAACAGCATTACCAGCTTCACTTATTACTAACCAGATTTACTTCATTTAATTTCCTTTTTAATGAAATCAACAGTTGTATTTTAAGTCACCATGATGGTGATCAGTGTTTGCTTTAGTTGGGCTGTTGACCCTTGACTCTTTAATATTAGATTTTCTATGGCTGCTGTGTGTTTATAAAGCATATTAGTTGTAGCAAAAAAGTGAAAAAGTAAGAAAAAAAGGAAAAAAGTAAGTAAAAGAAAAAAAAAAGTAGAAAATGAGATCAGGCGGTGTTGGTCAGAGTCAGAATTTGCATAGAGGTGCGCAAATTTCCTGTCAAGGTTTTAAATGTATCCCCAGAACCCTTTAGAAAATGAGAGGGGTGAACTGAATATGATGGCGCTTTTCCACTGCAGTTAGTACCGCTTCAAAGCAGGTGGGATTATAGTCTGAACGTTATAGTTTATCCATTCCTCGGCAACCAATGAGATGAACGTCTGCACTTCGTCCACCAACCATTTCTTTTTTGAAAGTTTTAAAACATGTGGCACAGCTGTTACTAGCTAAATTTAAATCTAGTGGGTTTGATGTCTTGCAAATACAATGATCTGCAGTATGTTCTTGTCACATTTTAGTATCGGTACGGTATGCTTGGAACCTCAACCGAGGTGGTGCCATTTAAAGCGACCTGAAGCTAGCTGTACTGTACCATGCATTGAAAAAGTGCCACAAGTGAGCCGTACCGAGCCGAGCCATACCGTACCATACCGTACCGTATCACTCCGCAGTGGTAGATGGCATAGATATTTATTTATTTATTAGTTTTGCATATTTTGTTCTGTCATAAGTTTTCCATTGTGAACTGTGAAGCGTGTGTGTGTGTGTGTGAATAAGAGAGGGAGAAGGCAAAAAAGGAGGAGGAAAAAAAACAGTTTCAGATCAGTGAACTGTATGAGGATTTTCCAGATGGTTTTATTGCTTGTTCTTCTCTGCCCCGTCCTGTCACAGATATCATTAAAGAGCAGTCCAAAGAGCTGAGAGGCACCCAGAGACAAATCACCAGAGACAGAGCTGCCCTGGAGAGACAGGAGAGGCAAATGGTAAGTGGAACAAAGCAGTTTCATATCTGTTAACTTCAACTCCCAATGTCCACCGCGTCCCTTCCAGCATCATATGTCGCTGCTTGTGCAAGGCAGTTCCTCTTTGATTTCATTTTTATTGCTTCAAAGAATAAAGTAAGCTAATTAATACATTTTTTGATCTTTCTGTTAGTTGCATTTAGAAAAAGAATAGAATAGGTGGCCTTTAGCTTTAAGTTAAAACGAATTGTTCATCACTCAATACTCATGAGGATGACTTCAGTGTTCATGTCGTCCCTTTTAAAGCTCAGAAGAATCCAACATTTCCACTCACTCTCTCCATTTATGTTAATTGTTTCTATGTAAACATAGAGATGTGCATAATTGCCCCCCAAAAGGGGTTCTTTTTTCTTCATCTTTATTGTAATTAGACATGGTTTTGCTTTGTTATCTATTTCATTCTTTTAAATGACCTATATTGAAAGATAGCTGCAGGGCATTCATGAGCTGCTGCTTAAATACCCCATTTACACTTATAGTGGCGTCCCAAAGTCTGAGAACACATTGAACATCTCGAATGCAAAATCTCACTTCACTGGAAATTTAAAGACAGTTTTTATATGGTGGGTAAATGATAAATTTTTTTAATAAAAATAAAGAATCAAAATAATCATATTACAATTTTTTTTTCAGCCATGATCATGCTTGGCATGAAATGAAAGTTGTGATGATCTCTTCTTTCCTATTGTGTTATATATATATAAATGAAACAGCTTCTCGAACAAGAAAACATGTAGGGCGGGGCTTGATTTTGTTTGTTGGAAACTGATTGGATGGTTGTGATTTGCTATTGGATGATCTTATGTGAGTGACAGGTTGTCCCGCCCTCAAACCAGTTTACACATATAATTGGAGAAGTCAGATGAATGACAGATTATGAATGACAGATTATTTAGGCCAAAGTGATGTGACAAATCTTATTAAACAACAGGAAAAATACAATAAAAGAAACATTTATTTGAAAATAAACAATACTTGAAATTCTTCAGGTACAATAGGTCTATTAAACAGTAGCAAGAAATTTAATAATAAAATAAAAATAAAAATACTGCATAGTCTTCACTGTATACATTAAATATCCATTGATTCTTATTAATGCTACAAAAGTTTTCTAGTCAAGAGCAGTGAGTTATTTTCAGTGTTTGATAAACATTAAAGATAGACAGCAGTAGGTATATTAGGCTTCTGTCACTTTAAGACCTATTGCACGGATTTAATATATTTACACATCTGATTTTCTCCCAGTTGTTTGTTCACTTAGTTAAAACATAACCAAGTGTGTCTTTGTAAACCTTTGTATTTAACAGTTTAAGCGCAATAAGACGCAAAAGACAACTTAGTTCACAACTTGCGCGCTGTGTCCTCAAAAAAAATGTATTTGCTTGTAAAATCATGTGAAAGTTTTAACTGGCAGGGCTACATGCAAATAATAAAATGTGCACTCCAGCATTATACTAGCGTTCTCTCTGTAAAGGCAGAATGTGGCGACTTTTTAATATTTCACAATCTAATTTCATGATATCGCATACCCCTAACCCTGCTCCAGGTGGCATCATATCCGTCAACTGCTGGATAAATAACTGAACTGGGTCATGCTTAGCGTTATCTGTTCTTTGAAGGTATGGGTTTTGTTTAGCACATCAGTCTGTCACGTTTATTCTAGTTTTTCAATCCATATTGCAGCCTAGTGGCTGACGTGACAATAAAACATCTCTAATGGATGCTTCAGCTCTGTCTCACTCAGCTCTCTGTACATGAATATTTATAATGATGGCATATCATTGTCATCATGGTGTAACAGTAAAAAATACTCCATTGCAGTCATATTTTGAAAGTGACAGGCAAACATGGACAATATTCTTAGCTGTCGCAAAATGCCATTGTGTGCTAAATTTGGACTGCTGTGTGTGCGTGTGTGTGTAGCGGCTTGCGTTTTGCTTATCAGGCATCATGTGAGGAGAGTGCAGCACCTGGACTAATGTGTGTCTCATTAGAGTTATTGTGTCTAATATGCCTGTGTTTAGCTGATCAGCATGTGTTTACCTGAGAGACTGACAGTAAGAGCACACAAGAGAAAACTGGATCTGCTGAGTTGAATGTTCAAAAGAATTGCTTGGGATTCAGATTATGGATTTAATAATGACTATCTTAAAGGTGAAGTGTAGAATTTCAATTTGTGGCACCAAACAGAATAGCAGAATTATATTTTATTACACAGCCCTGTGGAATACTTGATTCTGATTGGTCTGTCACGCCATCCAGCGTTAAGTTACCTGAATAATAACCTGTAAAAAACACTAACATGGGATCATTGTTTTAAATGTAAGTTTCAATATATTTGAAAATGTAATTTATGCTTGTGAAAATTCACTCCAAATGTTATACTCTCTTATAAGCAAAATGAAACGGATTGTTCACCCAAAAATTAAATGTATTTCATCTTAATAATAATAATAATAATTTCACCTTTAATTGCCTCCATTAAATGAATATGACATGTGCTTGTTAGAAAGGGATTTTTATTTTGAAATTTTTTGTCATGTTTTGTACACATGGTGTAGAAAGAGAGCTTTTGTAAGTGCAGTGAGTCTCGGTCTTGAATTCTGATGGGTCGCCCTCACTATCACACAGTATCTTTGCATACACAAACACACACTCACAGTCTCCCAGACTGCATCTAATTGCTTGAAGCTCCTCAGGGCAATAGGCATTTTCAGACTTTTACTTATGTAAAGAAACACAGACCTCTGGGTCCAAACAAGTTATGGTGTGTGTGGTGCTTCACAACATCATGAACATCTCTTTCCTTGTCTGGGTGCCTTGTTGTTCTGCCCTAGATGTTAAAACCCAATTTTGTTCCTATTAAACGCCCCATGGTGGATGTCTTAATTCTTACCAGGAAATGGAAATAAAGAAAATGGCCAAAACTGGAAACCGAGAAGCCTGCAAGATACTAGCCAAACAGCTCGTACAGCTTAGAAAACAGAAGAACCGAACCTACGCAGTAAGCTCTAAGGTCACGTCCATGTCCACGCAGACCAAGGTCATGAACTCTCAGGTGAAGATGGCTGGAGCCATGTCTACCACAGCGAAGGTAAGAGCCTCATACCTCCCAATGGATCTCCATGACTACTGATTTAGTTTCTCCATTGCTGTCCATGGAGGACCTTAGTAGATCCCCCTCATCACAATATCCCCTTCAACATTCCCAGTTCTCCCCCACCCACTGATGACGGCTCTGTGTTATTCACATGAAGCCCGATGTGTTCCCGGGAAGTGCTGGAAAAACAGAATCCCTTATGTAGCAAAGAACTTCAAAAGAATCCTTAAACAGGGTTTAATTATCATGTTGTTGAGGAGCTCCTTACTTCACTGGTCTCATTGTGACCTAGTTTTATAGTTTTTGCTCTACTTTTATAAAGATCTCAAATCTCACATTCTCTGTGTATTAATTCACACTGTCCTCATTATCGTTCATTTAGAGTTTTTCCCATGATGCTTGTACAAAATAATAGGAGCCATGTTGTCGTCCTATGGAGCTTTCTTTTGGATTTGGATTTTCTCATGGTTAATTTTTGTCCAATTAACCATGAATAAAGTACCACACACACACACATATACTATATATATATATATATATATGTTTTTTTAATACATGTATATATACTGTATATATATATATATATATACACACACACACACACATTGCAGTGTATATGGTCTTAAGCAAGCTTAAGTTTGTTTTTTAGGGACTTGTAGACCAGAAAAAGCACCTTGTGAATTTTAAGCAACTCCTGATTGAAAAGTAAACTAAAGATTGTTATAAATACATTATAAAAAATTATATTTTTTACAAAAGAGTGTTTTTCTCTAAAAGGGGTTGATTGTGATGGTTTCAATTTAGTAGAGATAATTTTAAAATGTGCTTATAAGAACATAGCATCTTGATACCAATGTTATTTGAGTATCATTGAGATACTAATATATATATATATATATATATATATATATATATATATATATATATATATATATATATATATATATATATATATATATTATTTTTTATTTCATTTAATTTTTGGTTAAACTTTTAGTAATTTTGTTGTCTTTTTTATATTATTCTAATATGTATATATCATTTTTCATTAGTTATATTTCAGTTTTTGTTATTTTAGTTCATTGAGTTGGGGCAACTAAATGAAATAATTATGTTTACATTTTTTTCTTTATTTATTTCACGGAATGTAGTTAATCATTAATATGTTTAATCATCTACCTAATTGGTACATTTCAAATTTAGCATGAGATGGGGGTAGGTTCATTTATTTTACCTCTGGAGAGAGACACTTATTTTGTTGAATAAGAAAACAATTTCACAGTCTACACTTCTAATGCACACTTCTTAAAGCATGTCTTATCTTTACTAATCACTACAGGCATGTCGCATCATCACATAAAATGCAATTTCAGCCAATTAAGTTCAGTCTCTGACTACTCATTGATGGGGTGTTGTTTTTCACACACATTTGCAAACCGTTCCTGCCCTCGCACGAAAGATTCATTGTGTGTGTATCCATCCAATCTATATTGTATGAGGAAGGAAGCTATTAATATTTCCTCACCCGGCTACATATGGTGGTATTTGTAGTCAATCATAAGGAGGTAGCTGGTGTATTAGATATGAGATGGGTGATAATGAGGCTGTGTGTAAATAATTCTCTGTAATCAGATAGGACTCTTCCTGTGTGTCTGCCCTGCCACAGTGCCAGAGACCCAGAGGGACAGTAAAACAGACTTCTCTCCACGCGACCTATTTTTATGTTCTGTGTCATCTACTTACTGTACTCCCCCTCCTCACCAAATGGTGTGATGCCGAAATTTATGTTGAGCTGCATTCAAAATGTATTCGTCCGTGTTGGATTTTTGTCAGAGCTTGTGTTATTTTTATTACCGTTTTGTGCATCGTAAGGATGCTCTATTTATTCTCCGGGAACGTGATGCATTGCTTGAACTCTTTCTGTCTCTTAAGACTATGCAGACTGTCAATAAAAGAATGGACCCCAAGAAGACGCTACAGACGATGCAGGACTTCCAAAAGGAGAACTTCAGGATGGGGATGACGGAGGACATGCGTAAGTTTTAAGTGGTTCTGAAATGATGGAACTGTTCTGGTTGGTTTTTAGCCGTGCAAAAACTATGCTAAATGATGGACTATGTATGATTATTGTACATGGTGAGTTTCTTGGCACTTTTACTTTCAGAATCATTAGGAGAGAAAAATAAATAGGCTTGTCAGCACTTCCCATATTTTATTTTACAGCAAAGGCCAAGTGTCCAGTCAAGTTTGAGACTAATTATTTCGTTCACTTGGTAGAAGCAGCCAAATTACACAAGCGCCAACTTGGACATGCCCTCGTCCTCAAACACCATTATAAATCTGCATTAAGTAAAAAAACATATGAATAGGACAACATTAAAACTGGCTCATTTTGCAACAAGGACATGGTTTGTGCACACAATGAGTTCTGTGCTGCGAAATGTTGGCAGTCCAATTAACAATTCTGGCACTGTTGACTCACTGTTCCTCTGTTTTGAGGAACTAGACCTCAATGCAAAAATGATAGTCAACATTGTTGGCAAACACTCCCAATATAGACAGAAAGAGATGGTCTGACCATTCTGTAAAGAGACCAACCACAGTTTATTTGATTTTTATGTGCCGTTTAAGGCAAATTGTACAGAAATCACTGAAAAAAAGGAAAATGTGTATTGATACAATTCCTCAGGATATTGAATGCATTATTTATTAGTTAAAAAAATAAGGAATTCGAATTGATTGATAGTGAGTGCTTCAAACAAAACTCTTAAAAAATGTATCAATGATTTGATCCCCCAAACCTGGCAAACTTTGTCATATCCAGTGAATTCATCCTCAGAAGCTCTCTTTAAACCTTGTAGACCACCTTTGTTTCCATGTGGATTAATTGCATCTGGATCCTAGAGCAAAACCAGTTGAGAATCACCAGTCTAGATTATTCTGTCACCTTTCACCAACTTGTGCGAATTTCTATCCCCAGTCAACGATACGCTGGATGAGATTTTTGATGAATCGGGCGATGAGGAAGAATGCCAGGACATCGTAAACCAGATGCTGGATGAGATCGGCATAGAGATCTCAGGAAAGGTAAGATTTGACTTTCTTTTTGTCCACCTTGTTCTCGGGACAGCCCCAGCGGCTGTTTACGGCAGATGGCTGGACTCTGGCTGTGCCTGTGATTACTCTAGGCCTTTCTTTAGATTCATGAGATGCAGAATCATCGTATCTGATTGCAGCAGATGTGTATTCCCTTGGGCCAAAATGTAATTCTCATATTACCATATTCCACAGATTCTTTGTCCTGTTTTTTTCCCAAATAAAGTGATCGGGCTGTTGTATTTGAACATTTGGTATAAACAATGATCATATTTGATTGGTGCTACATCTATTCCCCAAAACAACAATTAAACTGAGGCTTATGCTGGTAGAGTTTTAGCACCAGGTGATCTGTGAAATCGGAGGTTTTACTGCTCTAATAAACTATTGTTTCCGCAGATGGTAAGAGCCCCGTCAACAGGAAAGATCCTCCCTGGCGCCTCCCCAGCAAAGTCTAAAGCGGCCACCATTTCAGACGCTGAGATCGAGAGACAGCTGAAGGCTCTGGGAATGGACTAAATCTCTTCACCCTCCACACCTGGGCACCCACTGCCAACAAAGAAAGACTGAGTTCATAGTGGGAACGGGGAGTGTCCAAGTAGTAAATGAAGGGAACATGTCAAGAAACATACTCTTGTTGGACATCGCAATGAGTAACTGGATTGGATTCATTGGTCAGATATATACAGCTGATCACGGTCTAGATGTTTTGACAAAATGCGCACTTAAACTGACATACTCTCCAAATCTGCTGCGCATAGTGTAGGGTTTAAAGGCCAAGTATCTAATTTTGTGTCACTTGTGGCTCCAAATGGAATTGCAGTGTTTGTTTTGAGTGGCACAACATCATCTCAACCAATAGTGTGAGCTTGGGGCAGGGCTCTCTGTTTGGGCAGCCAATGGCAGATTGAGAGGGGAGGGGTTAAAAAAATCAATAGGTGTGTTCAACTCGAAGCTGATCAAGTCGAACATACCTAATGGCTACACTCAAAATCGTATACTTCACCAAGTAGTAGGCGGAAAACAGTATGTGAATGGAGTAGTATGTCTGAAGTTTTCATGAAACGGTAGCCAAAAAGTACTCTGATGGCCTACTACTTCCTTCGACAATCACATCACAATTTCATTGACTGAAATCGCAAACTGTAGGTACTACATTTGGTTTGAAAATTAGCGACCGTTAAAAAAGTATGTTTTACATAGGATGAATACTGTATGTTTAATATGAATGAAATTCAAAAAGAACCTATGGTGTCAGTTGCGTCACTTCACTGCCATTCATAAATTCTCTCGAATGGCCTCATGGGATAGTAAAGTGTCCATTAAATACGCACTTGTGGAAGTAGTAGATTTTTAAGTTACTTTTCACCTAGTGATTTTTGACTATCATGTATTTGGACATAGTAGTGACAACATTGCGAATTAAGTACATGGTGATGTGTTCTTATTACACATTCATACTATATAGAATGTAATTTTTTTAATAGTCGCAAAGAGTTTACTTGTTCAAAAGAAGTACCAACTCAGAAAGTATGCGATTTCGGGGACAGCCATTGTTTTTTTTTTAATCTGTTTGATGCCACAAATATTACACACTGCAATTTTAACTTAAAGGGTGCTATTACTGTGGTAGCAAATTGTCCTTTGAATCCTTAAAATGCACACCAACATTGGAAGATTTTGGAACTGCATGGGATTCCTATGTGTTACAGGGCTAATCATCTGAAATACGTGTCATGTTATTAAAAGATGCTTGTTGCGTGTTTTTTTAATGTTTTTTTAGGTTGTGTATGACTTGATGACTATGATGAAGGAAGTAAGTTAAGGAATACAGTTTCCTTCGCTGTGAGGTTTGGTATAAAATCCGTATTTCTTATACTTACATGCAAACATATCATGCACGAGAATATTTGTTGATATGATAATGATAATGTGATTTAATCTTATCAACCTTGAAACTATTCAACCTTTAAGAGCAATTAACTGTTGAGTGGTGATTTGGGAAGGTAAAACAAATTGTAGTCATTTAGTCTATGATGCTCAATTTTCTCTGTAACAATTTAAAAAGTCTACAATAATGCCTAGTGTTTTGAAGTCTGTTCATATTTTAAAAGTCGTATAGTGTATTCCAGCCTTTAGGAGAACTTTATTGTATCTGTTTTTCTTTTCGACTTCATCTGTATGTACTTCTCAGCACGGTTTAAAAAGGTTCTTTTATTTTAACCAACACTGTGTGTATATATGAATGTACAGTTTATGCTTTAATTTGATTTTCTAATTAATAAAGTACCTTCATATTTGTGAATAACTGGTGTTTAACATGTATTTCCAACGCATTCTCATCCTAGGGCGTCAAATAGTGACACTTTTGAAATTTCGTCTAAATCCAACACACATGGATGGCACCCTTTAGCGTCAATATAACACGCACAGAGCTTTGTTCGGTTATGGTAGGTTTAGGGTTAGATCACTAGGAGGCGCCTTCTGGCCCATATATATCTGCGTCTGACGCTAAAGGGTGCCATGTGCGTTGGATGTAAACGAAATGTCAAAAGCGTCAGTATATGACGCCTTGGGAAACGGTGGGAAACCTTTAAGCTGAGTGTTATGAACCTCACAATTGTTCTAATGGCCTTTTAGAGCACTTCATATTTCATTAAATTCGGCGTCATTATTCATAATCGTAATGGATCATGATTTTTAAATAAGGTCTTAATGAGTTTGTCGAGTGACCTTTCTTAAATGAACCAGGGTGCAGTCCATTAATTTCAAAGTAATTTAATGAGGTATGGATGTGTAACCGCTGCAAGCGTTCCTGCTGGACTGGAATCTGCCGGAATAAACACGGACAAATCCAACATTATATTGTTTTCTCGGTGATCATATTTATGTTTGATATATACTGAAAATGTCAAACCCTGTCAACATTATCCCAAAGTATACTGTATTTATTGCATTATTAGGTCATATGGGGTGGTTAGGGATGTGTTGTTAACACAGTCAATGGCAGGAGATGATGATCATATAGATCATCACACATATCTCTCTGCTCTCATCGTAACACTGTCAGGAACAATGCAATACTGTAAATAATCCCTCAGTAAAACCCAGTTGGGCTCTGATCATATCACATTAAATTAACACACGGCACATATACGCACATGATAGATGCTTAATTCTCTCCTATCGGAATGATGTTTGATTATGTTTAGTAATGTGAATCACAACACTTACCATGTTGTTACGATTCATGCGAAGCATGTAATTCCCATAACAATACCCAGATTTTCGCAGAGCAGCTAATGACTTGCAGGATCTTTTAATAATATGACAAAACCAAGCATGACCACAATATTAGTCATTTATTTCAGACAAATTCATCATTTCTATACAAATAATGTTGCACAAAAAAGGTTTGGATGCCTCATACAAAACTCTACAGTGCAATGACACATTTCCAGGATGTGTTTTAGTTACATTTTTAGAATAGTTGCATATTTTGCTAATGCAATAAACTTTGACTGGAATGTATTTAAGTATATGAATGGTGAATAAATAATTTTAACAACATTAAAAAGTATCAAGATGATATTGTGATTGTGCCCTTTTTAGCACATTTAAATGTAGAAACCATGAACAAGAAATTTGTTAAAATGCCTTTGAGCAGCCGAAGTTCAGATTTCAATGAGGGGGCTGCTTAAATTACATAATTTGTAAAGGCAATAAATAAATATAAACAATAATATAAATAAATAAAATAGAAAGTATTGGCATACCTAAAAAAAATCTATCAATGGCATTGCATTATATAATCAACTGCCATTTATTTTCAACTTTTTCAAACTAGAAAAAATGTCACAATTTAAATGATAATAAAACTGTATATATTATTTTAAGACAAAGTAGGCTATTGTGACACTATGTATTTATAAAACATTAAAGGATCATAATCATAGTAGTTAATGTCATGAACTATACCAGTGAACTGCAAAAAAAAAAAAAATATTGTTGGTTGCCTTAAAATTTTAAGTTAATTGAAATGGAAAAATTGAGTTAATACAATGAAGGAGATTAATTTAATCACTAGAAACTCGAAATATTATGTTAACTGAACTACATAAATTATCTGAGTTGATTTGACAAAAGAAAAAAATGTTGTGATTACAAATCATGAAAATATTTTTTTTTACAGTGTGGTTATTCTGATGGGACACTTTTTAACCGTTTCAAATGACACCAAGTGTTTCCGAAGGTCATAGTGTTTAAGCAGATGTCATTTGGTTGGATATTTGGATATAATATTCCGACATTTTTAAAAGTGTTCAAACTCTTTTTGGGGGTCCTTGTATTAGGCCACTACTGCTGGTTAAACACTACAATAAACCCACTCACTGCCAAAGTCTGGTGTGTATTCTTGCCCGTGGATAATAATACCACATCCCAGCAGAGTATCTGGAGACTCTGGTTCTTCAGGGTCTACAGGCTGCAGTCTCTTTGGCCATGAACGAGCTGTGGTGTAGGCTGGTTTTCACCCTCTTCTCCCTCTGCCGGCGGTTACAGAACCACACGCGGACCACCTCCTTCTCCAGATGGAGACCCTCCGCCATTCGCACGATCTCCTGAGATGATGGTTTACTCTTCTCCACGAAATTTCGTTCTAAGGCTTCCTTAGCCCCAAGACTGAGAGAGCAAATTAAGAATTAATTAGGCATTAATGAGAGGGAGATGCTGATATAATGGCTTTTGTTTAGTTCGAATTCCCCATTTACCTGATGGTTGTTCTCCGTTTCCGTTTACGCTCGTGCATGCCCATCTTCTCATTAAAAAGAGCTGATGGGAGTCGCAAATTAGAGCTAAGCAATCTTAAGTTTTCTTTCAAAACTCAGGGATAGTGGTATGGTGGTGGTAAATAAATATATAAATAATCCCACTGAGGAGCGTTGCTGACTCACCGCCGGCTTGCTCGGCCTCCTCCAGCCACTTTGCCAGGATGGATTTGAGCTTGCAGGCGTTCTTGAAGCTGAGCTGCAAGTTCTCGAAGCGGCAGATGGTGGTTTGGCTGAATTCAGAGCCGTGCACAGCCGCCAGTGCTTCACCCACATTGGTCTGTGTGTAACCTGCCAATCAAAGCTGACAGTTAGGAAAAGTTTTGCTAGCAAAAGAACGTGCGGTTGGTCGGTTGAACTGAATGTGCACTTGTAGAGTCCTTCAAATCTGAAAAGCAGCCTGTATTTTTAACGGTACTTGCAGATAATATAATATTAATGGAAAAGAAGGTCACCAAAGGCTTAGTTCACCAAAACTAACATTAAAATGTGTCTTGTGTTGTGTTGGTGCCAGAGCAGACATTGCATGAAGGAGAGATCAGCGGTCAGAGATTCTTGGGCCTAAATTATGTTTGTTAGGTTTTTTTTGCACAAACGAAGCACTCATGTCGCTTCATAAAATCGAGGTTAAAGGAGTAGTTCACTTTTGAAAAAACCTTTGCCGCTAATTTACTCACCCTCATGTCATCCAAGATGTCTATGCCATTCTTTCTTCAGTCGAAAAGAAATTAAGGTTTCTGATGAAAACATTCCAGGATTTTTCTCCATATAATGCACATCACTGGGGAACCAAACGGTTCAAGGTCCAAAAGACAGTTTCAGTGCAAACTGCAAACTGTTCAAAGGACTTTAAACGATTCAGACGATGAATAAGGGTCTTATTAATCGAAGCGATCGCTCATTTAAAAAAAAAAAAACTTTAAGTTTTATAAGCTCAAATGCTCGCCTTGCTCTGTTCTGTGATGCGCATTCGTGACTCTCCTATTCAAACTCGTTCATCAAAATGAACAAATCTTTTCCCGAGTCAACTCATTCATTTCATTCGTTGAATGAACCAAATGACAAGAAAAAATATTTGTTCATTTTGCCTGATAAGACCCTTATTCATCGTCTGGAATCGTTTAGAGCCCTTTCAACAGTTTGCAGTTAGCACTGAAACTGGCTTTTGGACCTTGAACCATTTGGTTCCCATTGAAGTCCATTATATGGAGAAAAGTCCTGGAATGTTTTCATCAAAAACCTTAATGTCTTTTCGACTGAAGAAAGAATGACATGGATATCTTGGATGACATGGGGTGAGTAAATTATCAGCAAGTTTTTTTTAAAAAAGTGAACTCCTTTAAGTCACATGGATTACTGATGCATTTACTACCTTTCTGGGGCTTGACAGTGGTAGTTGCGTAGGCTTTCGATGGAGGGACAGAAAGCTCTCAGATTTCATTAAAAATATCTTCATTTGTGTTTTGAAGATGAACGAAAGGATTTGGAACGACACGAATGTGAGTAATTTAAAAGTAAAGTTTAAAAATCGTGTTCAAAAGACAAACCTAGTTTAATCCTCCTCAGTTTGAAGTCATTAGCAAACTTCTCCAGTTCCCGGATCTGAGGCGAGTCCATATCAGGGGGCTCTTCCAGGGGCCGGCTTTTCCTGCGCAGGTCCTGCTTGATGTCCCCCAGAGAGGGCTCATCCGTGAGCAGGGCCTGGGGCAGTGGCTGGAAGCTGTGGGTCAGAGCACACGAGCCCCCGCCCAAACCGTGCTCGGGGAACTTATAGAGGCGTGGAGCCAGAGCTCCTGCGGGACAGTGGGAAAGACGTGAAGCAATGCGATATCAGTTATTCCAACGACTGCAGAGGAAAACTGTATTGTGAATACATTTTCTACACTCTAATACTATTTTTTATAAAGCTTTATATTGTGCATTGTGTTACTTCTTTGATACTTTTTTATCTTTTCTTTTTTGCCATATTTATGTTAGTGAGAGCTGTCTGGTGTTGGGGTAATTGCTGTTATGCAGTGCATTTTAAAAATGAATGTGTTGTGGAAATGATATAATAAAGTGCTGGCTTTAGGAATGTTATTGGAATATTTATTGGAAAGTTATATTAGGGACAGTAATTTGATAAGAAAGTAATACACTCCTGTAATATATCTTAATATTGTCACGATTCATGTCTGTGTTCCCCTATCTCATCCTATGTTTAGCAGTTCCCTGTCATGTTGATTAGTCATCAGGTGTTTCTTATTTACCACGCCCCCTTGTTATCTTGTTTAGCTCGTCTGTCTGTATTTAAGCCCTGTGTCTTGTTTCAGTCGAGTTCTTGATGTTGTATGTTGGCTGTTCTCGGTTCTGAGTCTCTGTCTGAGTGCGTAGTTTTTGTCTGAGTTTGTTACCGTTTGAGTTTCTTGAATTCTTCTGCACTTGGATTCTGCTTCTGCTTCAGCTTCCAGCATAACAAATATACTGGCAGTTTTTACCTCTGATTCACCCTCAGTTAATTGTGATATTATGATGATTTTCATCTTTATACAGTAGTAACGGTCAAACGTGTGGAGATATTACTTTTTTAAATGTTTTTTAAAGAAGAGGTCTCTTGTAAAATAAATTGTAATATTGTGAAATATTATTACAATATAAAAGAATGGTTTTCTATTTTAATATAGCCTACTATTAAAATATAATTTATTTATTTTTTATTTTTAACTTTATAATATACTGTTTTTGTTTTGTTTTTCATCAATGAAGCCTGAAAAAAAGTATCGCAGGTTCCCAAAAACTGCAGGTTCCCAAAAACTGCAGGTTCCCACAAACTGTTCCCAACATTGATAATAAATCAATATATTGAAATGACTGAATTCTGACACTGAATTCAGCTTTGCATCACTGGAAAAAAAAAAAAACATTTTAAAGTATATTAAATTATTTAAAATTGTAATAATTTTTCACAATGTTGTTGTTTTTTTCTGCATTTTTGATCTTATAAACGCAGGCTTGATGATGAACATAAGAGACTTCTTTCAAAAACATTCAAATTTGTAACGTTTCCATTTTCCAATGTTTCGCGGTAGCCTAACTTTACAGGCTAATGGGAATATAGGAAAAAGTCTTATTATGTCGGAGGACTTGTACTTTCTATCTTTACAATAGCAATAAATGGGTCTGCATCTCCCTCTAGTGGCAGGAAGTTTTCAGTGCATCGAGGGCCACTGTATTCAGATTTGGGCGTCTGTTTATTTCAGTGGTGGATATTTCCAATTACACAGCACATGAAGACATTTATAGTTAGTCAAATACACTGTCATGAGCTTTTTTTTTTTTTTTTAAACAGTAAGAATCTCTTCTGTATACAGTACATGAATATACCTGTTATTTATTGCTACAAACACTAGATGGAAGCACAAGCAAAAAGGAAATCACCTGGTATGTTAACTGCAACACACGCCCTGCAGTTATTGTCACTGGTAACTATGTGTATTCTGTTGATAGCCTAAATTATTTATTCTGTCTGACTTTGAACTTTTAATACCGGTACGTGTGGCTGTTCTGTTTCTCGACAGAAGTGAGAAACGCTCAGGTTGCGGTTGTACCTTGCAGCGAACTGTTGACCATGTTGGCATGAGGAACACTGCAGGTCTGCAGGATGCGGGTCTGAGAGATGCTGGCAGAGAGCATTTCCTGCGCTGGAGACATACACACACACATACACAAGTATTTCTGTGTGTGTTTATGATGCGCGATAATACATAAACACAGAAGAGCAGTACTTCTCTTAGTTGCGTAAGTTGTGCGTAAATTGGCGTACCCGTCATCATGCCGTAGGTGGTCTGCTGGTTGCTATAGTGACATGGGGGCATCGGGTAGTGCAGACTGGCTGATGCGTTACTCAGAGCGGAAGTGGACAGATGCATGTGAGAGCGTTTGGATGACTGGACCAGTGGGAGACCTGAGTGCACTAAACCAAACATTAATATCAGTGAGCCATCACAGACAGACAGACAGACAGACAGACAGATAGATAGATAGATAGATAGATAGATAGATAGATAGATAGATAGATAGATAGATAGATAGATAGATAGATAGATAGATAGATAGATAGATAGATAGATAGATAGATAGATAGATAGATAGATAGATATTCATATTCAAATTGTGTGCATGCATAGAACAATTTATTGAAATTAATAATAAAAAAAAAACTTTTATCTGACTGAAAAAGAGCTGTGCAAAGAACAACTGAAATTACTTTTCTCTGAACTGGTAAAATAAGCGCCTCCACATTTCCTGATCCCCCCATTCTCGTCACGGCCTAGGGTGACATTTACACAAATAATTCATTATTGCAGTAATAATGAATAACAGATTGTATCACTTCTTCCTTCATCAAATGTCTCCGAAAATAAAATTAAACTCATTTAATGAAGGAAATCAGGTATGTAAATACAGATAATAGTTGTTAATATGCACAGTGACCTCCGGCTGTCAGAGCTGCACAGAACATTCAATTGAGTTTCATTCAGATCAGAGTAAACCTGTGGGTGGTGGTAATCAAACTCTCTCTGAGAACAACCTCCACTAACACTCAAGATGATCTCCTCATAGCCTTGTACCAACGATCAGCTTTTTGATCGCTAATTAAAAACACACACTGATTTATTCCATCCTTATACTGAGTGTCAGAAGTTAAACGCTCAGATGCATTATGATAAATAGCCTTTCAAACGATCAGATCTCTGCATACTCTGACATTCAGGCTTCACTTTCCGCAGGTGGAAGCGCGGCTGAGTTTACAGAGGTCGCGTGTGTATGAATAGAAATGCCAAAACATTTCAATTTGAGAGTTTTGCATCTTCTGGCTCAGAGCCCAAGCTAAATGGCACAGTTTTAGTAATTATGCATTATGGCAAACAACGAGGAGAGATTTGACGCTATGTATGAGTTTCTGACAAGACCTTCACTAATATTCTCTCACTTGTGAGACAAAACTGGGACGAAAATAAGTACCCGATAATTTAGCAATCAACATGTCAAAGTAATAACATGTCTGCTTTGATAATTATCTACGGAGAAGTAACAGCTGTGCAAATTGAGCTGATTAACCACGTCTACATCATTTTGAATTATTTCAACAAATTACTGTTTGTCTTGGCAGTCGTTTCTCTAGTGGCTGTGAGTGCTGTCGCCAAAAAACATGAGAAAGATTTGATGTACACTTTCAAAACTTTGGGGTCAGTCATTTGTTTTTGAAAGAAATTAATACTTTATTCAGCAAGGACCTTTTAAAGTGATCAAAAGTGACAGTAAAGACATTTACTAAAAATTATATTTCAAATAAATACTGTTCTTTGGAACTTTCTATTCATCAAAGTCAAAGAATCCTGAAATAAATGTCTCATGGTTTCTAAAAAAATATTAAGCAGCACAACAGAAATGTTTCTTGAGCATTGAATCATATTAGAATGATTTCTGAAGGATCATGTGACACTGAAGACTGGAGTAATGATGCTGAAAATTCAGCTTTGATCACAGGAATATTACAAATACACTCACCTAAAGGATTATTAGGAACACCTGTTCGATTTCTCATTAAAGCAATTATCTAATCAAACAATCACACGTCAGTTGCTCCAGTGCATTTAGGGGTATGGTCCTGGTCAAGACAATGTCAGAATGAATGTCAGAATGGGAAAGAAGGTGATTTAAGCAATTTTGAGCATGGCATGGTTGTTGGTGCTAGATGGGTCTGAGTATTTGCACACAACCATTTCTAGGGTTTACAAAGAATGGAAAAACATCCAGTATGAGGCAGTCCTGTGGGCGAAAATGCCTTGTTGATGCTAGAGGTCAGATGAGGATTGGCTGACTGATTCAAGCTGATAGAAGAGCAACTTTGACTGAAATAACCACTCGTTACAACCAAAAGCATTTGTGAAGCCACAACACACACAACCTTGAGGCGGATGGGCTACAGCAGAAGACCCCACCGGGTACCACTCATCTCCAAATAGGTAAAAGAGGCTTCAATTTGCAAGAGCTCACCAAAAGTGGACAGTTGAAGACTGGAAAAATGTTGCCTGGTCTGATGAGTCTCGATTTCTGTTGAGACATTCAGATGGTAGAGTCAGAATTTGGGGTAAACAGAAAGAGAACATGGATCCATCATGCCTTGTTACCACTGTGCAGGCTGGTGGTGGTGGTGTAATGGTGTGGGGGATGTTTTCTTGGCACACTTTAGGCCCCTTAGTGCCAATTGGGCATCGTTTAAATGCCACGGCCTACCTGAGCATTGTTTCTGACCATGTCCATCCCTTTATGACCACCATGTACAGTACCCATCTTCTGATGGCTACTTCCAGCAGGATAATGCACCATGTCACAAAGCTCGAATCATTTCAAATTGGTTTCTTGAACATGACAATGAGTTCACCGTACTAAAATGGCCCCCACAGTCACCAGATCTCAACCCAATAGAGCATCTTTGGGATGTGGTGGAACAGGAGCTTCGTGCCCTAGATGTGCATCCCACAAATCTCCATCAACTGTAAGATGCTATCCTATCATTATGGGCCAACATTTCTAAAGAATGCTTTCAGCACCTTGTTGAATCAGGTGAAAGGCGATAATCCTTTAGGTGAGTGTATATTACAATAGAAAACTGTTATTTTAAATTGTAATTAAATTTCCCAGTATTACTGATTTTATGTATTTTGATCCAAAAAAAAAAAAAAAAAAAAAAAATGCCGCCTTGGTGAACAAAAGAGAAATTAGTTTCTGATATAAAAAGACATTGGTCAATGCATTATACTTTTGATTTGGTGTTTTTTCTCCCAAAGTATTTCCCCTGGGAAAAGGAGATGTGATCTCAGGAAAGGTCAGTTCCTCAGTGAGAGTCAGACAGAAGAGTGATGACAGCAGTCAGGACTGGAGATAATACCAAATAATAGGACAACTTTAGGGTCATATAGACTAGGTTGAAAGGACATTCGCTCACAGTCCAGTCTCTCTCTCTTTTATCACCTTGCTTTTGTTCTCTGTTTTTTTTTATATATAAATAAAAATCCTCTATATGGGAAGTATTCCCACTGGACACATTCTGTCATCTCAGATTTGAGACTGTCCAACTTCATAACTTAATATAAGTTTCAAACCGCTAAACACAAAAGTTGAACATAACTACAACACAGTTGTCATCATTTACACACAACGGCTCAAAATTGTTCACACTTAGAGTTCTGAGAGTATGCGGCACTTTATTTCAAGGTGTCTTTGTTACATTGTAATAATTATACATTTAAGCACATTTAAATAGTAAAATGAAATAACTTCATACTATAGGATTAGGGTAGTGGTTTAGGGTTAGTTGCATGCAATTATGCATAATTTATAGTTATTATTACAGTAACTATATGTAACGTGTAACAATGACACTGTAAAATAAAGTGTTACCAAATAAAGTGTAAACCGAATTTACTTTAAATTGTAATCAGTTTTCATAATATTACTGACAAATATTTTTTCTTTTTCAAATAAATGCAGGCTTGGCAAACATAAAAAACATACAAACCTTCAAACGTTTTACCGTGGTTTGGTCTCAAATTCATAACATACATTTTTGAACTGCATAGGCTCAACAATATGCAATAACATGCTAGATCATAAAAAAGGACATATATTGCTGTGTAGAAATAATAAATACAAAAATACCTTTTACCATCCAAACACATGGAACAAACCCAGTTTTGCATTAGTATTATCACCAAACGCCAGGTGGATTTGCACACAAATACTGTACACTTAAAACACCAATAACAAAAGATATAAGATTATTTATTTACCTTTCCTAACTACGCTCTATTATACAGTCAGTTGTACAGTAATATTAGCATTTTGCATTGTTTTCCCCTGCAACTCGGCGGTTGAGGGCCTCTGAATGTGTTGATTTACCTGGAGGCCCCATGTTGGCGGGCAGACAGTCTGCGGCTCCGCTGTGGTGCATGAGCAGAGAATCTCCGCTCAGAGTCGTGAAGGAATCGCTGGTGCTGAAGGCCTGGCAGGTCATGACTCACCTGTGTGACACGAGCGGGGCGTGTGCAGGTATTTATGCTGAGCCCCCTCAGACCCCCTCATCCATGTTAATGAGCTCTCGCTGTCGGCACAGCTCTGGCAATCAGGGCAAAGAGGTGCAATCTGATACTGTCCATTTCCACTGTGTGTGGCTTCCGACAAACGCCAGTGACTGCTTTGACAAACCACGGCTTATGAGACTTAAGAGTAATTAGCCATTCCAGAATGTGTTTACATTTACTTTTTAGATGCACCGAGTCTGATTGCATAAATATGTTATCATTGAATGTATTTAAGATACATTTTTAGGATTCTTCATGAGTGCATGAGAATTAAAAATCTATGGTATTACTAGCTTTATAGCTTTATATATTTTTTTAAAAGCACATCAATATTTATAAATAATTTTATAGTGTTGGGAAAGTTACTTTTACAAAGTAATGCAATACAATATTGCGTTAATTTTGATGGAAAGTAATGTATTATTACAGTATTTGTTTTCGCTACGTATTTGGAACCCCTAAAAGGTTCTATACAGAACCCTTTGTAACCAGGAAAAAGGTTCTATACGGAAGCTTTTGGGTTCATTCTTGTTTTGTCCTTTCCAGATTAAATATTTCAAATTATTGACAAACATCAAGACCCTGAATGTATTTACGAATGCATGTGAATGATCAACAAAATTTAAGATATGGGGGTTAGAAAATGTATATATTTACATAAGTTTATGTAGTTAATCAATATGAGTGCCATTTCAGTTGTTCTCCAGCAACTGAAAAATCAGCATGATTAAAATGTGATATTAAGTTACTACAACAGTTTAATAAACAATAATTTAAATACAACTACAAAATATTACATAATAAAGGAATATGAATAATAGCCTATAAAGAATCTTTGTGCCAAAAGGGTTCTTTCTTGTCATTATAGAACCTTTTTTTAGCATAAAAGATTCTTTCCATGCTTCATGTAGAACCCAAATGAACCCTTTTTTCTAAGAGTGTATAATCATGTTTTTTTGAATCAAAATTAAGATTTTACATTAAAAGTATATGCATACTCCATTGTTAGCCAAAACACAGATATTTTTTTTCTTTATTATCATCATAAATTATTGAATTTAATTGTTTTGTGTTTCATTAGTTGTACAGAGCCATTAGTGGAACTATAATTACATTTTATTTTACAGAAACTGTGCTTTGAAGGTTGTTTTTGAGCACAAATATTTCATGTAATTTCTCAATTAATGTGAGGTCATTAAAATGCATGTGGAATAATTATAGCTAAAACATTTTCAAAGTCATTTTAGATTAATTAAAGCGTGTCAAAACTGCTTGCATTTTCATGTCAACATTCAAACACAAATTCTTTCATTTCTCATATATATAAAAATATGTTCATCTTAAGCCTATCAACTGTCAGTGTGATATATTCATTTAATGACTGTTGTTAATATCTGCTGGAGAATTTCTCATTTTAGTTTAGTGAAACTTGCTTTGGTTTGATTCCACATGATGGATGTTTACTTGACCGGTGTGTAGCCGGCCATCTGGTCACTGGTCAATTAGTTTTTGTTGCATTTGTCCTGGCACGTCCATGTGTTTGTTATATATAAGCCTGAAAAGCCCTAGTCTTGAGAACTTGCTTTATTTGTGATCATCTAAATCACTGTTAGCACGTCCTGGTCTTAAGGGTCTCTGAGGCTCAGGTACAGCACAATACTTTAGATCAACACAACACAGCAAGCCTTTGTGGTTTGTGTCTGAATGACAAAGTAATCGCCTGAAGACTTCTCGCTTTGCATACTGAGGAAGACGGTGAATATTTCCAATAAAGTTGTACATTGTATGGCAGCCTGTGATCTGATAAATCAGTACTGCAGAAATGTTGATAATTTGGGTCTCAGTCACGGATTTACAATTTTTCGCCTCACTATTCCCTCACTCAAAACCCCTGATAATGAGGATTCTTATTAAGATTACCGCATTTATCCCACACCATCAAAAGGAAAATCCGCACCATTAGCCATGAGACGCCATGTGTTAGTGATTTTATCATGGGAGTTGTGTGTTCTAATCACTGTCATTTTATAACATGGCATCAATATATATATATATATATATATAAAAAAAAACTAGACAAATGTACAATAAATAAGGACATCAATAACCAAAATTAACAGTTATTACGTAACACCAAGTAATCTAGTTTGTTAGTCTAAGGAGTGAACACAAACAGCTCATCCGATCATAATTTAGTAAAGACTTTTTTGATGCAAGCAATAAAATAAACTATGTAGACTGTGTCATAACAGCTCTCTGTGTTTGGCATGGTAATGGATAATAGGTTTGGTCTGGTGGAATTGATCTGCTACACTGTTGCTGCTACAGAGCAAGTTCAAGACTTCAATATATTACTGATAGACAACAAACGGTTTGACCGAAAAATATCAAAATTGAAAATACTGTGGAAACAAAGACACCTACATCTTGGATGCCCTTGAGGTAAGCTAAAACATATCAAAAATCAATTTCAAAGTGAACTATCCCTTTAAGAACTGGTCATTTGTCATTAACAGCTCAGGTGATTGGCTGAAAAATGTCTGTTGTCCCATGAGTAAAGATGACAAATTGGATGGATGGATGGATGGATGGATGGATGGATGGATGGATGGATGGATGGATGGATGGATGGATGGATGGATGGATGGATGGATGGATGGATGGATAGATAGATAGATAGATAGATAGATAGATAGATAGATAGATAGATAGATAGATAGATAGATAGATAGATAGATAGATAGATAGATAGATAGATAGATAGATAGATAGATAGATAGATAGATAGATAGATAGATAGATAGATAGATAGATAGATAGATAGATAGATAGATAGATAGATAGATAGATTTGGTAGAATATAGATAGATTTTTTAATGCATGCAGATATTACATTTTATTATTAAAAAACAATTAATATTTATGACAATAAAAAGTCTGAATTTTAATTGCCGCTAAGTCCTGTAATATGTAATGTGACGGGACCTTCCAATCCTCCAGGCTGTCAAAGAAACAGGCCGATGGACCTGTGCAATACATGTCCCAAGTGAGTTAGTGTCTGCTCTTAAAATAACCCCCATTGTTGCAACAAGCCTCTGTGATGGAGGGTGTATAAGATAGATGGAGAGAGAAAGAGAGAGAGGAAAGGGAAGAGTGATAAAACAGGCTTCAAGCACAGGATTAAGGGGACCATGAAGAAAACCCTTTCCCATGAGAATGAACAAAGGACATGTGATTTGAAGAAGTAATAGCGTGTTTATTACGTCTCTCGGGTAAATCCCTGCACGTTGAGTCCTCGTAGGCTGCCAGAGTAACCAAGCACGGACACACAAAGCCCACTAAACTTAATTAGTGCAGGGAGCATGAGCTGAGGACCTGCACCTGTCCTGACCGGGTCCTCGCCCCAGCCTGACATACACACACCTCACGCATTGATCCAGCACTGCAGTGGGAACACCACCATCACACACCTTCTCACAGGTATCACATCCTTCTAACACAAGGCACACATGGACTGTACACCTTCCTAATTGTGGAAATGTGTGAGTGTGTGTGTGTGTGTGTGTGTGTGTGTGTGTATGGAACACCTTATTGATTAGACTGGCTGTTGGGTCCTGACCCCAAAATGGGTCACAGGTCTGTTCTGATAAGGTCGTGGACAGCAAGAAAAACAATGATAAATGTTTTAACCATAACAGAAAAATAGGAATATATATATATATATATATATATATATATATATATATATATATATTCCTATATATATGTATAGACCATTTTAAAAGATGTAAACAACACTGGTCCAGAAACACTTCCTGTTTCAGTTTGTAACTGTTTTCTTTATTTCACATGTAAAGAAAACATCTTAAAGATGTTTGTTTAACTTTTTGATTCAATTTTAAATGTTCTGTTGTTTGTATTTTATCCCAGCTTTTATGTAGTGTTAAAAAACTGAAACAGAAAGTGCTTCTGGACCAGTGTTGTTTACATCTTTTGAAATGGTCTATATGTATATATATTCATATATATACAGTATATATATATATATATATATATATATATATATATATATATATATATTCCTATATATATATATATATTCATATATATATACATACATATATATATATATATATATATATATATATATATATATATACTTGATGTATATATATTTATATTTGGTAGTCTGGTTCATGAAGCATGCAATTGCTTGCATTTTCCATTTAAAATGTATAGTAAGCAAGTTTCAAATGTTCAAATGCAAACTATTCACAGCTAGAACCATTTTTATGCATTAGGAAACATCTATAAATTCAAATCCAAAGTCAGACAGATGAGGCACGGATCCTCCGGTCAATGGGAAATTAAAGAAAGAATGGGCCATTGCAAATTACATTGGTGAACAATCATTGCCCTTGCTTTTCACTCTCACAGTGTGTGATGTGAAATGCTAAATTCATAATTCTGAAGTGCTGAAAGAACATCGTTCTGTTTCTGTTTCACATGAGCTTGTTGCTTGCGTTGGTTCCATGCACATTAAGCACCTGACTTTGCCTGTGATGAATGTCATCTGCAAGTAAACAGGCCACTACTCCGGAGCAAAGCAAATGGCAGCCCCATCCTTAATACCTTAATTCATTATGCAAACATGATCTATTGCTGAACCCAGTGTACTGATGAATATATCGAGAGAACCTTATGTTTAAGTCCTGAAACATCTGCCGAGTGGGATCAGTCATTCAGACTTCAATGCATAAACATGCAAAACGGAGGCAATAAAGGTAATTTCATCAGTATATTCATCATCAGCCCCAATTCTGAAAGGTTAAAGCAGGGAGGGTTTGCTTGTGACTACATCAGTCCACATGATTTTATCAGTTATTTAGCCAAAGTCATTTCCACTTGTTTGCTCTACAACCTCAATTAGATC